AGTGCACAGGCTGCATCTTATTCACCTTTTATCATCCAAACTGAATAGCACAGGGTTTTCCACATATTATTATCTTCACCGATATTTATTAAATTGAATGTGAGGCTTAAAGTAAAAATTGTGCATACACATACATATACACAACTACATTCTACTTACCCTCATTACAATACTAAATTATTTTTTTCTAAAAAGTGTTTTGTATACAATCCTTATTTATGTAGTCGATGAAACACTATATATACAACCCAGCACTTTGGGAGGCCGAGACGGGTGGATCACGAGGTCAGGAGATCGAGACCATCCTGGCTAATATGATGAAACCCCATCTCTACTAAAAAACTGCAAAAAATTAGCTGGGCATGGTGGTACGTGCCTGTAGTCCCAACTACTCAGGAGGCTGAGGCAGGAGAATCGCTTGAACCCAGAAGGTGGAGGTTGTGGTGGGCCAAGATTGTGCCACTGCACTCTAGCCTAGGCAACAGAGCAAGACTCCTTCTCAAAAAAAAACAAAAAACAAAAAACAAAAAACAAAAAACCCACATAATGTCAAATATTGTATAAAAAGTATACAAGTAAAAAAAAAAAAAAGGCACTGTCTGTCTTTCTTTCTTAGCTCACAGTGCTAGGAAGTTCATTCTTATAGTGCGAGCACAGGCATCAATACAGTACAATTTCATTAGAGCAATATGACAATATTTTTCTTCTTTGTTACAGATAAAATGCAAAAGATATGAGCATTATTATTAGAGAAAGGAAAGAGAAGTTACCTGTAATACTTTAATAGTTGGTCCCTCCTCCTTTAAAGGAAAGAGGAAGATAGAAGGGGCTTTATCTGCTTCTTCCAGAAGCCCTGAATCATGTATGAGATGCAGTGGTGACTACACACAAAGTCGTTTGTGCTAGCGATTTACAGAAGTACTATTTTATTTTATTTCTAACACAAAATTTAAGTGTCTGAATGCTTTAGGTAGGCACAAAAGGGAACGTGAAGGATGTCTGCGATCATCAAGCCCAACAGGAAGATTAGAGCAAGAAAAGGGAGAACTACTAATAACAGCCACAGTGGAATTCCCAGATTGATCAAAGGGGCCAGTGAATATCACAGCTAGGGCCTCAGGGGAAGTAACTTCTGAAGATTTCTCGTGCCTTAGAGTCAGCAGAAGAACAACTGTCTGAGAGCTGCATCACATGTAACGGAGATTTGGTGGGAGAAACACACAATACATGTCCCCAGATAGAGTAGTCATCAACAGCTTTGTCTATCTGACAGATATATAAGTTATCCCTTGGTACCCAATAAGGATTGGATCCAAGACTCCAGAAGATACCAAAATCATGGATGCTCAATTTTCTTAAATAAAATGATATAGTGTTTGCCTATAACCTAAGCACATCGTCTCCTACACTTTAAATTATCCCTAGATTACTTATAATACTTAATACAATATAAATGTTTTGGAAATAGAAATAGTTGTTATGCTATATCTTAAAATTTTTAATAATATTTTCATCATCGCATAGTTATTTTTTATTTTTATTTTTTCCAAATAGTTTTGATCTTGGGTTGATTGAATCTGCAGACACAGAACACACAGATACTGAGGATCAAGAATATATTACTTGCTGCAGCTGAAGATTCAGCAAAGATTTACAGGAAAGATTTACTGTTCATTTTTGGGATTCTTATACATGCCCTCTTTCTCTGTTACAGGCACCTCCCAGTTCTAGAGCCCATAAAATTCTCCAAAGGAAAGACATAGAGGTCTCCCTGTCCTACCAGGACTTGCACTAATGGCCTTTTTGCAGTTGCAAGGAAGATGGGGGTGGAGGATAACAATATCTGAATTTCGCTGAATATTTATTCCAAATGAAACTGAGATTTTAAATAGTCTAAAAGCACCAGACTATGCTAAACATATTAAAAGGGCATATTGACTGGCAATTTTAATTATCCATTCCCCTATCCCCAATTACTAACTTCTAAAGGTTGATGAGTGCTTCATAAAACTGGTAGTAGTTAACTAAAATAAAACTATTCCATGTTTGTAGATTGCTGAATTGAGGCTATATATTAAAATTGCTACATATATAATAGAATTAGAAGACATTTGGGGAGAATATTTAGTCTATAAATGTTTCTATATGAGAAGAGTAAAATGATGAGAGCTACTTGACTGGGAGTGAATAAATTAGTTTATCATTAAGTCCTGATATAACAAAAGTCACAGATATCCCTTAAGGTTAAGAAAATCTTTGGAGAAGAAACATTTTTTTACTTTGAAAATAGATAGAATTCAACTACCTAATTCATAAATCATTTAAAAAGAGGATCAGTGAATTAAAAGTCAGCACATCCATAATAAAGTGAAAGTAATATGTTTAAGAAATTAACCTATCCTTTAACATTGACATAAATTACCCTTGATTTCACTATGAAAGAAGGAAAATAACAGATTATATGGATTATGAATATGACCCAGCATGAACAGTTCTTTCATTCTTAGCAAATGGCCTAACCTCTATTCATACTCTTATAAAAGTTTTATGGTTTTATCCTTAAACAGAGCACAACTCAAATCATGCTTTGGCTTGCAATATGTCTACAGGAGGAACAAACCCATATGTCATGATAACTGTATAGACTGGATTTGTACTTCTCTTATGGAGCATAACCACAGCCATACTAAACCACTATTCTGTACCAAATACAGTTGTCTCAAAAATACAGAAACTAAATATCAGAAAAAAATCCAGTATGTTCAGACAACTGTGTGAGCCATGAAATCCAATCAGTTTTATGCAAAATTCCATCTCGCTTTCAAGTAGAAAAATATATTTACATGTTTTGAAAACTACTTGTTTATATTTGATTAGCACTATATAGAATCTCACGTTATTATTTTCGAGACAGAGTCTCACTATGTCACACAGGCACAATCTTGGCTCACTGCAGCCTCTGTCTCTCAGGCTCAAGTGATCCTCTCACCCGTCAGCCTCCTGAGTAGTTAGGACCACAGGCACACGCCCCATGCCTGGCTAATTTTTATATTTTTTTGTAGAGATGGAGTTTCACCATGTTGCCAGGGCTAAAATTTTTTAAATTTATATTCCTATGAAGAGTTTAAGTTACTTGAATATAGAATTATTTTGTATTTGATTTCTCAGGTAATATTTCAACAGTATTTATACATATTTCTTTAGCAAAATGATTGTTTTTAGTACTGAAAGCCTTCACAGACTTTACCAACAACCTACTTTGTAATATATGTTTTGTGTAAGGATGGCATATCATTAGTTCTCAAGCATTTTCATGGATCCGAAGTCACCTCAAAGGCCTATGAAAACAGACTCGGAGAGTTTAGTAGGTTCACAGTGGGGCCTAAGAATTTGCATTGCTAACAGGTTTCCTGGTGATGCTGATGCTGCTAGCCTGGGGACCACATATACTTTTCAAGAATATTAAAAAATATAATTTTTATGAAGCTACTGATAAAAATTCGGAGACTTTTTTTTCCAAATTATAAGTAATTTGTTAAAAAAATTATTAATATCCAAGTTACAGTAAACTGTTTTTTCATTAATTCCTAAAGAAAAAATAGTTTTAGCTACATTATTAACTTTTCAGGTAATTAACAAATTTAATACTCAAAGTATGCTTGCTGCCAAAGAATCTCCATGTACTTAAATTCATTTTGGCAAAAAATAATATTTGATTTAAAATAAAATAATATAAATCATAATATAAAAACTGCAAGTGACATTTTTAACTATCCACACATGGGTATGCATATGCCATAGTAATATTTTGATAACATGTTCATTAGGTAGCGAAGACATAAACACTCCACCACCTAAGATGTTTCACACTAAATAACAGAATGCAAATCAGTGAGCAAATTGCCCATGATTACACAACAAGAAGTAACAAGTAGACTTTGATTACAGCTTTTAGCTAAAATATTATAATTTTCCTACTTATTAAAACTTAGCTTCTTATTAACATGAATATCTCAACATATTTATGCTATTTATAGATGAATTCCAAATATATTCCCAGCTCTCTGATTTTGGACAGCTCAAATGTTATGTGCTTAATACAATGAAGAAAAGAAATGTAGAATTGAGCAATGGCCCCCTCCAAAAAAAAAAAAAAAAAACACAAAAGTGTAAAACACATTTTGAAAGGCTTGGGTGCCTTACCTTTTTATTGCGTAAAATATTGAAATACACATATTTAATAAGTGCTTAATATTACCTTGTAGAACTGGTGTTATATCTGGTGTTCTCCTACATATGTGTCCTATGTGTGATGTAGCTTACAAATGGAGACTTAAATCTTCATTCAAGTCTTTTATATGGTTAAGAATTATAAAAAATTTTTTGTCAGACTATTAAATGTCTAATTATAATGTCCATTTTTTTTATTATTTGGCATTTTCCAGTAGCAATGAAATTACTGTCTCCGAATGAACAGCAGGACACATTCAAGAAGGCAATCAAGAGAATGACGCAGGTATTGCACATGCAACCTTCACAATCAGTCTTTTTGGTTCAGATAAATTTTTTTTTTTTTTTTTTTTTTTGAGACAGAGTTTCGCTCTTGTTCCTAGGCTGGAGTGCAATGGCGCGATCTCGGCTCACCGCAACCTCCGCTTCCTGGGTTCAGGCAATTCTCCTGCCTCAGCCTCCTGAGTAGCTGGGATTACAGGCATGCGCCACCATGCCCAGCTAATTCTTTGTAGTTTTAGTAGAGATGGGGTTTCACCATGTTGACCAGGATGGTCTTGATCTCTTGACCTCGTGATCCACCTGCCTCAGCCTCCCAAAGTGCTGGGATTACAGGCTTGAGCCACCACGCCCAGCCTCAGATAACTTTAAAATCGCTCTCGCATCCCCACCCCATGCTTTTTCAGTCCATTGGCCTCTATGTATGACCGCTTCTAAAGATTTATAATCAAGAAAACATTACTGTTGTCTTCTGTAACTTGCATACTCACAATCAGGAGGCATCTTTTCCATAAATATCTTGTAATATTCTTGTAGAAGTTCAAAGTTTTCCTGATTAATACTTTCTTGCAAAGAGACATCCCCAAACCTACAAAGAGAAGAAAGAAAACAGTTATGGGTTATAAAATAGTACCAGGAAGTAACACATTTTACCTTTCCTTTTTAAATAGATTGGAACAGTTTTCGAAGGAAAGAGTCTGCCTCATTTTTCAATCTACATTGCCCAATGGTGATTTCAAACATACTCCAATCTCCACTGGTCTGGATTTCACTAATCACTTCTAACACATCAAATATCCTCACAATCATCAAATGTGAACTTAGATGAAATACCATGGGTAAAATACCAGCCTCTGTGCATGAGCATAACGGATATTAGTTTTCCCACCCTACTCCACACCTCCACTGCAGGGCTGCATCCCTGTATGCGTTTAACCAAACCTTCTTTCTTATTATCTATCCAACCTTCCATTTCACTCATGGCAACACAGGGAGGGGTCCAGAAGACAAGCACTGGGCACTGGGCTGCATGCAATCTTGCCCACACTATCAACTGCTGTAGGCACATGTAGAGCCCTCTTCCCAGAGAGTAGATTATTTCTGCTGACATTTTTTTTCAATTCATACCATGAAGTCAAATGGTTCTGTACAAATAGTCCCCCACCTCTTGTTCAAGATGAACCTGTCTACCTGTGTGTCACTAACCTCGTGTTCTCTTTGAGAACTGACCAAGTTCAAACCTAAAACCTACTTGTCTCTCTATAAAAGTATGCTATGTAAATGGCTTCCAGTAGTATCTCCATCAAAAGCTGGATTTCTAGATGTCAACGGAAAACTTCAGTGTGCATTTTCCCACTCCACTTCAAATGCAACACAACCCAAAATTAAAACTGCCTCCTCCTTTGAATCTTTTCTAAGCAAATATTGCTAATCCCCAATATTTTGGCACTAATGCAGGTTCAAAATCGAGGCATCATTTTGGATTTCCTCTTTTCCTCACCTTACCCACTATTCCTCAGTCATTTTGTGTCTCTTCCTTTTTTCTTTTTCTCAACAGTGGTTGAGAATTGTCATTATATATTAAGACATTTAATTATATCCAGTCTGAACTCTCCTAAAGCTTTCCAAATACCGCAGAATTAGGTCTCTAGTCTCTTTCACGTCCAATTTATCTTTTGGACCCTGGTCAGATCATTCAGTCTGAATGAAAAATGAACTCACTTATACAAAAAATATTTAGTATCAACTATGTACCAGACATTGCACCATGCAATAAATGAAATGCTGGAAAAATTAGTCTAACATACTTTTCATTCTGTCAGTTCACTGAACTTCAATGCTTCTCTCCTCCCTGAAAGGATGACGTCTTATAATCTCCTTAGTTTAGCATCTAACTTTCCACGACGTCTTCCAAAGCCTCTTGTAGGAATGTAGCTACAACGTCCTCACTTAGCAGCAGTGTTTCAACGCCTTTGGGACTTTTCACGTGCTATCCACCCTTGACTGGAATGTCTTACTTTCCTTGATGGCTTGATTAATTCTGATTCATCTTTTAAAGCCTGGCTCATGTCTTCTTTGATACTTCCCCCATGGACTCATCTCCCATCTGTGAATCACTTTCTTTTATGCACTATTCCTGTCCCTTCCACACCTTTAATTATTGCATCAGCCAAACTGTAATGTAATGTTTGTTGACTTGTCTTCCTCACTGGATTATACATTCTTTCAGGATAGGAATCAGATTCCATGCTTCTTGTTACCCTTTATTCTCCTTATGCCCCACAGCTCTGAAGAACAGTGCCTGATACAAAGTCAGTGTTCAATATCTATAGAGTTGAACTTGGAGAACAGGGATACAGACCCCCAAAATCTAGAGGAGTTTCCATAGAATCTGAAAGATACTCTTCTAAGATTTTCAGATACTACAATCAACTGGTATTTTAAAAATACCATCCTTCGTCAGGCACAGTGGCTCACATCTGAAATCCCAGGACTTTGGGAGGCTAAGGCAGGCGGATCACGCAGTCAAGAGATCAAGACCATCCTGGACAAAATGGTGAAAACCATCTCTACTAAAAATACAAAAATTACTGGCATGATGGCACATGTCTGTAATCCCAGCTACTCAGGAGGCTGAGGCAGGAGAATCACTTGAACTAGGGAGGCAGAGGTTGCAGCGAGCCGAGATCATGCCACTGCACTCCAGCCTGGCGACAGAGTGAGACTTTGTCTCTAAATAAATAAATAAATAAATAAATAAAATAAACCATCCTTGCTGGAATAATAATAGTGTTATGAAGTAAATGTTTGTGTTGTCCTAAAATTCGTATGAGGAAGCCCTAACCCCCAAAACGGTAGTATTTAGAGATAAGGCCTATAAGGAGTAAAGTTAAATGAGATCATAAGGGTGGGCTCTCTCTTTCCACAAACACAAAGAAGAGGTTGTGTGAACAGACAGGGAGCAATGTGGTCAGTTGTCTGACAGCCGGAAAAGCCCTCAACAGAAACCAAATTGGCTAGAACCTTGACCTTGGAAATCCCAGCCTCCTGAGCAATGAGAAACAAATTTCTGTTGTTTAAGCCACCCAGTCTATAGTAGTTTATTACAGTAGCCCAAGCAGACCAGTGGTATTTATTTATCTAAGAACGGTAATATACAACATCTACACTTTGGTTTTGAGTAAACAGTAGTAAAATATTACTCCTAGATCACATAGCATATCTAACACATAGATGTTGCCTTATAATGCCCAAAATTCAGAATCAGGAAAAGGAGGTTCAGAGAACAGAGAGGAAGCGACTTCCTTGAATTAGCAGTTGGTTGATGTCAGAGTGCTATGCAAATTCAGACCTCCTGCTTCTCTCAGGGTTTTCCCTACTTTGCCATTTTGCCTCCTTTTCCAGTCTTGTGAGTCTTGCTCAGCTTCCATGTGTGAAAAAAGTACACTCTTAGCATGCAAGAGAGATCAGAAGGAAAGGACACCTCTTAAATAAAATGACTGACAACTAGAACAGTCACAATGACATGAATGATACAAATTAGTCCAGTTTAGAAGCCTTAAAAATATAATGCTGACTAGTCTTTGAAAAGTCTGTAAATGGAAGAGTCTCATCTGTCTCTCAAGATCACAATCACAGGCTTTATTAATTCCAATCCAAAACATTCTACTCTAGCGTACCAAAGAAAAGAGAATTTACAGTGCTGTTCCCCTTCTCCAAGTTGTACAGTTTATGCTCAGGAATATCATTCATCTCAAACACTGAATTTGCTGAGAAACAAATATATAGAGATAAATAGAATATAATCTGATCCTAGACACTAGCTTTCAAAAGTGCTTTAATATCAAGGCAATGAGTATGCTAAGCACTTTTAAACTTACCTATGGGGCAGGGGTCACTTGGAGAGTGGATTATAGACAAGGAAGCTTATTAAATATTATAATATCAAAGAACGTCTAACTCCCCAAATTGATGCCTGTGAAGGAGCTTCTCCAGCCAGCCCCAACAGCCAAGATAGTAACTTCTTTCTCCAAAATATTTCAAAAGTATGCTCTATTATCTTTTTTTGTTTGTTTTTGAGACAGTTTTGCTAGTGTTGCCCAGTCTGGAGAAAATGATGTAATCTCAGGCTCACTGCAACCTCCACCTCCTGGGGTTCAAGCGATTTTCCTTCCTTAGCCTCCTGAATAGCTGGAATTACAGACACACACCACTATGCCCAGCTAATTTTTATTTTTGCATTTTTAGTAGAGACGGGGTTTCACCATGTTGACCAGGCTGGTCTTGAACTCCTGATCTCAGGTGATCCACCCTCCTCAGCCTTCCAAAGTGCTAGGATTACAGATGTGAGCCACTGCACCTGGCCTGTTCTATGATCTTTAACTGTTATCTACATATTCTGTAATCTCTATATGTGAACCACATAAGATGTAAAAATAAGTATTTTTTTAAACAAGTGATTTTTGTTTGTTTTTTTGTTTTGTTTTGTTTTGTTTTGTTTTGAGACAGAGTCTCACTCTGTCACCCAGACTGAAGTGCAGTGGCACAATCTAGGCTCACCACAACTTCCGCCTCCCAGGTTCAAGCAATTCTTCTGCCTCAGCCTCCTGAGTAATAGCTGGGATTGCAGGCACCTGCCACCATGCCCAGCTAATTTTTGTATTTGTAGTAGAAATAAGGTTTCACCATGTTGGCAAGGCTGGTCTCAAACTCCTGACCTCAGGTGATCCACCTGCCTTGGCCTCCAAAAGTGCTGGGATTACAGGTGTAAGCCACCATGCCCCGCCAAAAAAAAAAAAAAAAAAAAACTTTTTTAACAGTGACTCATGGGATCATAATACAATCATTTGTTGGCTCAGCAGGTCATTATAAAAAAAAATGTTAACATTACCAAATAATAACTATTATAATAAACACAATAAAAGATGACTATTCTGTTTTAGATAAAAATGTTGACACTATTAGCTGTTTACAATATGGAGGTATGTATCAATATAAATTCCAAACTTTAATATACACATAGGTATTTGTAAACAAAGAAGGTTAATCCATGCGAATGCTTTATTTATTATTAGCACCAAGATTTTCCTCAATGTTTTTGCCACATTTAAATTTGATTTGGGCCAGGATTCCTTAAATATTAAAATTTACCTTCTACATCAAATAATTTGGTATTGATAAAAAGGAAAATGTTACCTATAAATCGAGTTAGTTTTATATGCAGACACATGTTGGACTTCTCATCATATACTTAAAAGGAACAAAGAAAAAACTCAAGTGCCACTCTTACACCAAAGCTTACCTCTCAGCAAGAGTTTGCTGTTCGTTGATTCCAACGTTAAAGAGTACTGGATACACATGAAGCAACTGCCCTTCTTTAATCTGTAGAGGCAGCGACTCAAACATTCTGGCTGGAAGCTTGACTTCTACCACGTAATGTTCTCTAAAGAAGGCAGAGGACAAAGGGAAGAAGGCTTACTTATTTGTTTTATGTTATTTTAGATTTATTGGAAGAAAACAATAAAAGGGTTGGAATATAGCACTGATTTAGGTTTCTGTTTGCTATATGCTTATATTCCTCATTCATTCTTCTCCTTACTAACTTACTTGACATGAAAAATTGTTAGAATTCATTTACATGTATGACTTCTCTACCTCCCTCTGAATTCCTTTAGGAAAGAAATGTTTAGTTCATTTTTGCATACCCAGGGTCATGTGCATCGATAGCTTCAATTTTTTTTCTTTATTTATTTTTAAAGCTCAATCAATCCTAAGAATAAGAACACTAATTTAATTATTGCTGTTTCAATAAGGTAAAGCTAAATAAACCAAATCATTTATATAATTTTTTGGTATGGCCTGATTGTTATTACTCTTGATGAGTGTTTCTGTTTATGATAGGCTGATGCAAAGGTAATGGTTTTATTGCTTAGATTGTAACTTTTGGGAATTCTGGTCATTTTGAAACATTAACATATCGCAAGAGCATTTTTCATTGGAAATGTCCATTAAAAACTACCCCTATTTTTTTAATGCTGAAAAAAAATTTTTAATTGTACTTAAATTCTGGGGTACATGTGCAGAACATGCAGGTTTGTTACATAAATATACATGTGCCATGGTGGTCGGCTGCATCCCCATCACCCCCTCATCTACATTAGGTATTTCTCCTAATGCTATCCCTCTCCTATCCCCCCAACCCCTGCTATCCCTCCCCTAGACCCCCACACCCCGACAGTCACCGGTGTGTGATGTTCCCCTCCCTGTGTCCATGTGTTCTCATTGTTCAACACTCACTTATGAATGAGAACAGGCAGTGTTTGGTTTTCTGTTCTTGTGTTAGTTGGCTGAGAATGATGGTTTCCAGCCTCATCCCTGTCCCTGGAATATGATTAATAAGAGTAGCTACTTATATATTTTAAAAATTGACATCTTCTGATTCAGTGTGAATTGAGTATAGAAATTTAGAAAGTTTTGTCCAGAGGCTGGGAAAATCCATGTGTTTCAAGAACTATTTAGAGTGGTGGTATTGTAAAATACACATTGGAGAAATAAGCATAGAGCAAATAGTGAGCATCTTTGTGAAAATCTTTTTAATTTCTCCTAGCAGAACATCATTGATAAAGAGTATGGACCACTGACTCTGAGACTTGTTTTTTCCTAGCTATGAAACAGAGACCTGGTAAATACCAAGAATTTAGCAAGCAGGGATATTAGCATTACCTTCAGATGAATAAGCACATTATTTTTCTTTGTTTAATTGCTCTCAATGCCATTTACAATAGTCTGGTTAACAGTCTTTCAGGAATATAAGAAGCATCAATGAGTCAGTTCATGTTTTAAAATTGTTCCAAAGGTGAAACATATAATTTCTTTGTGATAATTTTACCAGCTTAAGAAATAATTGATATGAACTCATTCATTTTAAGTATATAATTCATACCTTTAGCGAATTTACAGAATTTCACAATCATGACAATAATCCAGGTTTAGTACATTTCCATCAACTTAAAAAGATTCCGTATGCCTGTTTATAGTCAACTGTACTATTACTGCCAGCCCAGAAAGCCACTCATCTATTTTCTCCCTATTTCCTATGAATGAATTTTATTTTTCTGCATACATCCCATGAATTGACTCATACAGTATATAATCTTTTCTGTCAGGCCTTTTTCACCTAGCATAATGTTTTTGGGGTCATCCATGTTGTGCCACGTATCAGTAGCTTGTTCCTTCTTATTAGTGAATAGCATTCTATTGTATAGATATCACATTTTATCTACACATTTATTAGCTCCTGGATACTTGGATTACTCCATGATTTGGGGTATTATTAATAATGCTGCTATGAACATGCGGGAATGAGCCATAGTGTGAAAGTATGTTTCATTTTCTCTTGGGTATATGTCTAAGAGTCATACGGTAATTTTATATTTAACTTTTTAAGACTGCCAAACTGTTTTTAAAGTGACATTTCCACCAGCAATGTACAAGAGTTCCAGGTTTTCCACATTCTCACCAACATTTGCTCTTATCTGATGATTCTAGTGTGAGTGAATTGGCATCTGTGATTTTAAATTTATTCTCCTAATGATGAATTAGGTTGAATATGTTTTCTTGTACTTATAAATCATTCATATATCCTTTATGGTGAAATGGCTATTCAAACTTTTTGCTCACATTTCAATTAGGTTTTTGGTGTCACTATTATCGAGTTGTAACATTTATTTACATATTCTGAATATGAGTTCTTTTTCAAATATATGATTTGTAAATATTATCTTCTAATTTGTGGCTTGTGTTTTCATTTACTTAATGGTATTTTTTGATGCTTAAATGTTTATAATTTTGATGAAGTCCTATTTATCTATTTTCTTCTTTTATGGGTCTTGATTTTTGTGTTATGTCTAAGAACTCATTACCTAAACACAACTTACAAATACTTCCTCCTGAGTTTTCTTCTAGCTTTACAGTTTTAGTGCTTACATTTAGGCCTATAATGTATCATGAGCTAGTTTTTGTATATGTGTAAATTCTTCTCTTTACATATAGAGAGGCCAATTGTTCCAGCATCGTTTTATGAAAAGACTCTCTAGTTTCCAATGAATTACCTTGGGAACTCTCGTGAAAATCAATTGATTTTAAGGATAATAATTTATTTCTGGACAATAAATTTTATTCTATTAATCTACATGTATATTCTTATGCTAGTACTACACTGTCTTGATTATCATAGCTCTGTAGTAATTTGTGAAGTCAGAAAGTATAAGGTTTCCACTTTCTTCTTCTTTTACAAAATTGTTCTTCTTTTACAAAATATCTGGGTCCTTTGCATTTACATATAAATTTTAGGTTAGGCTCTCTAATTTCTGCAAAAAGACTACTGAGATTTAGATAGCGATTGCAATGAATCTATAGATCAATTATGAAGAATTACTATTTAAACAATATTGAGTCCTCTAATCCATGAACACAGGCTGTCTCTCCATTTGTTGGATTCTATTAATTTCTCTCAGCAATATTTCATGTGTTCTGTGTACAACATTCAGACTAACTTTGTTAAATTTATACCTATTTTTTTTTGTAATGGTGATTTAGACTCGTTAATCTAAACCACCACTGTTTCTGACAACCTGCAGGATTGTGCTATTTCCTACTCCAATCCAAGCCAAGTTAGTCCTCTAGTAGCAAAGCTGCTGGTGTTAATGGCCTTGCCCTAGGAAAACTGTGTTCACAGGGCCGGGGTTGACGGGAGCAGTCCTCAGCAAAATGCCACACTCTAACTGATGTTGCCCAATGTTCACTAGTTTTTCACAAACAAGTACTTCTGAATTTGTGGTGTGCATCCAGTTTATTCTGTTTGTCCTAAAATGGTTGTTTTGGATTATTTCCGGTTGTAACATTGCTTTTGGAGACAGGGTGCGCTAAGCTGCTCACATCATCATTCTAGGAGTCATGTCCCCACCTGTATGATCACTTTTGAATTTTGGTACTGCTTGAAGAACTTCCTTAGAAAAAGCATACTGTACTCTGCCTATACCAAATGGCCTGGTAAGCTTTCCTTAAACTTTGGGATATAAGTATATAAAAACATTTTACTTTTAATAATAAACTTCAGAGAAATATAGAATTGTACTGTTTTTCAGGTGTGCATATGAGCAATTTTATTCTTTTTCTCCCAGTGAATGGCAAGTTAAGTATTAATTCTAGGTAAATATTTAGTTTCTGAGGATGTGGGTTTTTAAAAATTATACTTTAAGTTCTGGGGTACATGTGTAGAATGTGCAGGTTACATAGTTATACATGTGTCATGGTGGTTCGCTGCGTCCATCATCCCATCACCTACAATAGGTATTTCACTTAATGCTATCCCTCTCCTAACCCCTCACCCTCCGACAGGCCCCTGTGTGTGACGTTCCCCTCCCTGTGTCCATGTGTTCTCATTGTTCAACTCCCACATGTGGGTTTTTTTGTGTGTGTAAGAAAGTCACTTCTCAGTCAACCATGTGTTTCTGGGCATCCTTCACCACAAAATTTAAAATAATTATTTTATGTTTACCATCAACAGGAAAACAAGTTTACTTTGAACTTTTATACTTAGTCTCTTTTGCATCTCTCTCTAGCATCGAAAGGGTTCTCCCTCTCATATATTCGTGTTTTGAACCTGACCTGAAAATGTTTCAAATTTTAAATATCATCATGCAGCAATTAAAAGCACTAACGCCAGGATGGTTAGGTCTCCTGATTGAGACAACTTACTATAGGATGTACCTCTTCTGTTGGAGGTCTGTTCTACACACTATCATTTTTCTTAATTATTTCTGATTTTTTCCTCTCATCCACTGACCTTTGAAGCTATTTATTGAAAACCCTTCTCGGAAATCTCACAGTCTGAGAGTGAGTTGTCAAAAATAATTAAGAAAAATGGTGCTATGTTCCCCTGACACAGAAATATATCTTTTCTAAAATGTTGCTGCTTTTAACTGAATTTAAAGTCATTTCAAAAATTATGACTCTATTAACTGAACAATTCCCACAAAAGTAAAAACACCCAGAGCTTTGGATGAGATAGTAATAAGGAGAAAAATGTTCTCATGCAGGCTATTACTCTGAATTTCTAGTATTTTGCGGGCAAGTACTGCCATACTCACTTCACTACAATTTAAAACATTCATGAGATGACCAGGAGTTTTTCTAGATCATCCCTTATCATATCACCCATGTTTATTTCTTACCAAAAAGGAAAAGAAAGCAGAAGAAAAATTCCCAAATCAAACCTGAATCCCTTGCCTCCTGTGACAGGAGTTAACACGACGTGTCTAACACAGCCTGGTCTCCAGGAAGTGAGCACTGCTTACCGTCTTCCTGTTATAACTGGCAACACATCGTTGGATTTGGCTTCAATTATTTTAAATGCGACTTTCTTTAAATCGGAAATGCCAACAGCCATGTCCTCTAGCATTCCAATTTCATCGCCTAAACAATGGAAAAGGCACTTAGTTACAAACAAACATTTGAGGAAAATGTCACTGGCTACTACGCCTCCCTGCTCAAATTTGTTCTAGCATTTTAGTGAATGAGTTTCTGAATGCAGTGAACCTACTCTAGACACTTTTCCTCAGAGGCTGAAGGTTTTCCTTAGTGAAATGAGAAACATTTCAATGGACTTCAGAAGTCAATCTACTCTTTGAAGGAAGGAAGCATGTGGACATTTGCTGTGAGACCACAGAGAGGTTTTAACCCCTTGATGATTTGTGTGCCTTTCTTTCCATTGTTGAGACTGATATTTGCTATCTAGAAATAACAGAGATTTGCTATCTAGAAATAACAAAGGTAACTGAACTGATAATCACTGACCCAAGTTCATGCTAGTTTTGTATCTCCATACATTAACAAATGAAGCCTGAGAAGGAGATCATTACTATTCTAGATCGGCAGTCTTAACAGATGTATGTGAGCCACATATGTAATTTTAAACTTCCTGGTAGTCATTTTTTAAAAGAGTGAAATTAAAAAGGTAGAATTAATTTTAATAATATATTTTACTTAATCCAGTATATCCAACATACCATTTCCATTGTAAATATAAAATGATTAATTATTATTATTATTATTAATTTTAAAGATGGGGTTTCACCATGATGGCCAGGCTGGTCTTGAACCCCTGACCTCAGGTGATCCACCCACCTCGGCCTCCCAAAGTGCTAGGACTACAGGCATGAGCCACTGCGCCCGGCCAAAATGATTAATTATTAATATAAAAATATTTTAAAACTAGTTTTTGAAACCTGATAGGCATATCTAGTACATATTGATTTGGACCAGACACATCTCAAGTGCTCAACAGTCACATGAGGCACACGAGGCTACTATATTGAACAGTACAGTTCTAGACATTACAGAGTTGAGACTTTAAAAATCTAGTCATTCAAACTATGTTGGCACAGAGCCTTTTATATTAAAAAAGCCAGATAGCTGCTCAGGAGTCCACTCTGAAGTAATCTATAATTCAATTTTCAAAACATAATAGGAGGCAAAAGTAAGTCACAAGGTGAATGCAAAAAACTGAAAGTTACATTATTTTTGTAATACTTGGTGCAATAAAAGTTTACCTCTTATTTTTATGTGTTCCTGAAAAATTTATGGATTAAATATACTTATGAATAGAAATGTGATTTTAACTGGTACTAAAGCAATACTCACTGTATGTACTTAGCAGTCCTTCATATTGTACTATCAACCCCACTGTGTGAAGCTGCTGTAGGAAGCCTGGGTCATACAGACTTGTCTGTAATTTGATGATAAAACCACAAACCAGTCCAGCAAGCTGAAAACAAAATATTGATGAGATTTACTGCAGCTGGCAAATGTATTCATTTTATTTTGAAATATTTAAGACTTCTGAGGCATCACAGTTTCAATTCTCAGGTATGTGTAACAAAGCTACAACCATTTGGTAGACATATTAAAACAAGCTGACAGTCTTTGATGTAGGATTGCTGTGTATAAAAGTCTTGGGGAAGGTAGACGTGTAAAGGGAGAAAGAATATGGACAGGAGTCAGGTTGACTGATGGGTCTTCAAATCTTATGTTTACCATTTCTAACAGTAAAACCATAAACACTTGCAAATTTTATCATTTTCTGTACATGTAGAATAGAGATGGCAGTAACCATTTCACAGGACACTAAAAGAACACCATGATGAAACATGTATGTATAGGGCAGAGCATGTTTCCCATACCTGGTTAGCACCACGTGCCACTGGACCCTTCATGAAATAATGGGAGAAAGGGACAGTTTGGCTAAAACATTCCCTTTTCCTGGAATGTTAGGAAAGAAAAGTCTTTTTCTTTTTCATGGGGCTGGAGAGAGTTGGGGTGAAGGAAGGCACCAGCACAGCCACTGTGATGGAGGCAGGCCTTGGCGTTTTGAATCGCGTTGGGTGTAGACAAAGAAGGTGGCCCTGTCAAACCTCCCATCCAAGCCTTACTGCCCTGGAAACTTATTTTAAAAACAAAATAAGAGATCATTGTGAAACCCTGTCCCAGGATTAATGGGGGAGCTGTCCAAACAAGCAGCTGCCAACAGACCCCCTTGCCAAGTCCTAGCTTGTCACCTGCAGTGCAAGGCAACAATCCCTTCCCTTACACTGCATGTAGACCCCAGAGAATAATACAAAGATGGCGACCACTTCCTTCACAGACTTCATGCCCCGTGAAGCAGAATTTATATTTTGGAGACTTGATCATTTCTTTTCAGAAATAAATACTTAAGGTCTCATAAACTCTTTGCTTCGGATATTCAGCTGATATTTATCATGAATTAGAAAAATGAGGTACCAAAACTTTAAGGATCTTTTTAAAAATAAAACTGTCCAAATCAGAATTCTATCATCATCAAAGACCTAATGTTAACACTTCGGCACTGTTTGTACTAAAAATAACAACAGGCACCTACTGCTTGACTGAAGACGATGTCTCTTCTTAGCGTCAGCATCAGACACTGGGGCAAGCTGTATGCAAGTTCCTGAAGGAGCACAAACGTCAGGGACTGCTTGGCTCGGTTCACCACTTCTCCCATGCAGTCCTTCAGGGTAAGGATGAGGGGATACAACTGTTCATACCAGTCCTCTGGGGGGAGGGGGGTAAGAACAGTGCAATAGATGAAGGAAGGTCTTGGAATATAACACAGAACCAACTTCCAACTTATTTTAAATTTTTCAGTGAAGTCAGACATATTCTTAAGGATTCAAAAAGATTAGAACTGAAGGTCTTTAATTATGTCTCCCGAACTCTGCCATGTCTATAAGCAGCCACCCATTGGATCTCTCCACGTAGATGCATTTGACATATTTGCAGCAGATTGCCTCTCTTCTCTGCTCATCTTTAATCTGTGCACTGCCTGTATCTCAGTGAGTTGTGCTATCAAACTTTTCTCATACTGGGAAAAAAGTTTGACTGGACTTCCTCTTCTGCAATTTTCACACGAATTTGTCTGAACACACATGTAAAAACCCTGATTAAATTAGTTCTATTACCGTAATAGTCTATCAGCATGCATCCCCTCCTTGTCCATGCACATTTTGGTTTATTGCCCTCCCCTGGATCACTTCCAGGACCACTCCCTAACCCATCTCCCTTCCTCCAGTCATACTCTACTGAACTCCCTTCTCAACAGTGTTGCCAGAAAGATTTCTAATCAGTTTGTATCTGATTCAATCACTCACTTCTTACTTCTTAAAATATTTTGAAAACAACAACAACAACAAAATTAAAGCATGCAGAATAAAGTTCAAACTAATGAAAGATTCTCCATTATCTAAACTTTGCGTATTTGTCTAATCTCATCTTTCAGAACTTTATCTGCTGTCTTGAGTCTCAGGTGAAGTGAACAACATATATTTCCTTAAACCTATCCTGTTTTCTCATCCCAATGTCTTTGCAAATCCTATCTCCTCTCCTAGAACACTCTATTTCTACTTTTCTTCCTGACAACACTTTTATCTCCTCTGCAAACTCAATTCAGGATTTCTCCTCTCTAGGAAGTCTTCCTTCACTTCCCCCCTACTCCCCTTCCCTGTTCCCTGAAGTTTGGGTTGAGCTGACTTTGTTTTGTGCCCATAGCTTCTTGTCCTTACTGTTCCAGGACTACTCACACACTACTCATCGTTTTCCTCTGCAAGAAAGACAACTCACTGAGGGCAAGGAATTTTTTAATCACTGAAGCCCTAGAACTTAGCATAGTGCCTCGCCTATAGTAAATACTCAGTAAGTTTTAATTGAATGAGAAAAACTGCAATAAATATAACAAAGTTTTAAAAAGATATAGCCAGGTATAGGCAAGTCAAGTTTGGGGCAGTATTTTGGATTAAAATAGCTGTTCTTCAAATGAGAATGCAAAATTGAGACCATTTGTGCTATTTGTGTGTCTAGATTTCTAACGTGCATCAATTATACAATTATGACTTTGGTATGATATAGAAACAATTTATGTTCTATTTCAGTTAATTTGGAGATCAAAGCCCTGGCAAATGTTAAATATCATAAATTCTTGACTGTATGACATTCCATTAATATATAAATAAATTAATGGACAAATACAATTTAATATGAATGAGAGCATGCTGCGAAATTAATTATAAAGCAGGAACTGAAATGATATGATCTCCTCATCATAAGAGTGCAAGCATTATTGTGAGTAATATGAGTGATAAATAACCAGTTAAGACCTTGAAAGAGGGACAGAGAATAAAAAAAAGAATCATAATCACTACTGTACCATGTCTACTGTCACTTATTTATTTTATGTTGTGGTATAATAGGCTAGATGAAATAAACTGAAAGGGTTGAAAGGATAATTAATGGCCTCAACATAATAAAAAGATATGTTCATGTTAATATTCTATGAAATACCCATGTGATGCTATAATGTAAAATACATAAGAATGTTAGAAATTGTTATTCAAAAATATTGTAGACTTAAGTGCTATTATAAGGATAAAAACATAGAGAAAGAGGAATGTCAAAGAGGCCTATTAATGCATAATCATCTACTATTGGACAAACTTATAGGCAGCCTAGAATAAAATGTGAACAATGGTTCAATTTAAACAAGCATCAGTTGATTCTTATGTTACTGTCATGTGTAAAAGGAAAAATGGAGGTACACTGGATTTTTTTTCATAATAAAAGATACATCAATAGATACCAAGAATGAATATCCTATATTCCTATTTTTTTCTTATTTGTGTTTTTTAATCTCCTGTTCTCTTTCTCACTTTCTTATTTGTTGCTCTCCATATGAATGGGCGGACTAATAGACACAGGAAAGCACTAGAAAAAACTTCAATAAATTAACCCAGATGTAAATTTTAAATGATAACAGACTGAAAACTGATTTTGTTCTGTGCTTAGCTCTGCAGAGATCAGTTTCTACTAACTTACAAACATAAAATACAGCTTCTGTGCAGTAGGTGGCGCTGCTTTATCAGGCTGAAGTAGAACTACTTCCACTTACTGCAGTCAAGTAACTGATTGTATTTTTGTACGCAGTGGGATAGTTCCCAAACAGCATGGACTTACTGTTTAAGCATCCTGCATCATACTATCCTGAATCAAGTGCTCAATACTTTATATGCTCTTTCTAGTTAGAAAATTAAAAAAATAAGTGGCCACATTTTTTTCTTGCAAACTATTAAGTGACAATTCTAATTAAATATTTCTCTTAAAAGCATTTAAAAGAGAAAACTTTGCAGATTTTCTCATTAGCATAAGGATAATTGCTTTATTTCACTTCCATGTTCACTTACTTGACCAGTTGATTCTTAACTTAATTATAAATTACAATCAGACAACCAAAGAAACAAAACCCAAACAAGTCTGGTTTCCAGTTCTACTAGAATAGAAGCAAAACACTGGGGAGAAAAAGAAACACATAATATTCGAAACCTAGGAACATGGTTAGATACTAACAATATCCTGATACTAACAATATTCCAGTGTCTCTGTTTAGCATAATTATATATACTTTTTATGGCTAAAATTTCAGGAAAATGACAATATAGGAAAGCATTAATTATGAATGAGAAAATTACAAGTTTGTGAGAAAGGTAAACTCTTTAAAATAGTAGTAAGCCTTCTATGGAAGAGCATAAGTGAGAAAGCTAAAAATACTTTTTTTTTCTAGGAAAGAAACAATTTAAGTTGAGCAGATAATGGAAAATGGTACTGGCAAATGCAAATTCCAATGATTCCAGGTTTTCTTCTCTGTTAATATTCAATCAGTGTAAATCTCAGGTTCTGAAATAAACACAGTGACTATGACAGGCCAAAGCAAGGCTAAGTTGTTCATAAATGGCCTTTTTACTCCAATGAACTTCCCAAATCATTCTCACAAAGGAACAGTAAATGCTTTAGTTTTGGCTTTAAAATATGTTTTTTTGGGGGGGGGAAGCTCTTGGCAGATTTGAGACTGTTGACACTTGTCTCTCACTTTTGTGTCTCTCCATATCTCACAATTTACATGGTGTTTACCTGGTCCTCCAGAGAAAGATGAACGTGGTGTTCATTCTGTCGTGTGTTTGTGTGTGTGTGTGTGTGTGTGTGTGTGTGTGTGTGTGTACACACATACGATCTTAGCTGAAACTTGAAGAAACTAAACTCAGAAAGGTAGATGTGTGCATTTCAGGATTTTGTACTTTTATACACACACACACATACACATTGATACACCTAGTGAAACTAAGGGTGCCCCACAACACAGTCACTGCCCCGCCATCTCTCCCCTGAGCCAACTAGCCTAGTAGGCAATAAGTGTGATTTTATTCCCTGGGCTCCTTTCCATGACAGAGGAAAATACTAAGAGAATGTTTTAGTGTCTCTATAAAAATTTGCTGAGACTCCTTAACCCTGAGACCAACAAGCAAAGTCTTCCTCGGGAAAACATAAAAAGCATGTGGGCTTAGCTGAGCTTTTCCTGAGCTTTGTGAAGTGTATTGGAAGCTATCCAAGCACAGCCTCTGTTTTCCAGCCCTCTCCTTGCTTCTCAGTCATATTCAAGGGAAGCTCACTGAAGGATTCAGAGAATGACTGCTGGGTGCCCCCCTCGCCTCCTCCACACACCATCTATTTCCTGTGCAGGATGTTCATGTCCTCTGAGTTCAATGGCTCTTATGTTTCTCAGGAGAAAAATAAAAGAGCCAAATATCAACCAACTGTAGCAGAGCATCATGCTTTCTTTCCAATTTCTGAGCCATTCTCTTCTCAGGTACTTGGTCTTTTTTACTCATTTAAAATAATTAACTTCACAAAAGCTTGTAGCCATTCTTATTTTTGTTATCACAACCTTTCAGACACAGAAAAAAGAAAAGCGAAAAGATCACACATCCATTAAACTTTATGCAAAGAGATAAGGGAAGAAATGAGCCAGCTCTTAGGATTCTCTTAAGGTAACAAGATGATGAACTGTGAAGCCAAGCAATTAGAATGGCCTTTACGGGCAGCAATAAAATTCCCAAGGTCAACACAGATCAAACTCACAGCCAGCAGGGGTTTTAATCTATGCCTGAACCTCAGGTAGCACAGAAATGGTGATGGGTTCATGGCTGGGGGCTGGGGGTGGGAGAAATCAATTTCTTGCTTACAAAATTTTTGTTGACTTTGAAGGGCTTATTCCTTCAAAGGAACAGGGGTTGATGTACCTCTCTATGTGCCTCTCTGAGCAAAGTTCTTGTCTTTCAGGCACAATTTTGCAGTGTCAACATCATAATGTGAAGGTATCAACTAATAATAAGGCTTCTTCTGCAGACATTTTATAGTCAGTTTCTTTGTATGGGCATAATGCATGTAGCCAACTTTGGTCAGAGACACGGATACCTGCCTATAGGAGGCCTCTAAATATCTGGACATATCCTAGGGGCATAGGGCAGAGAAACTAGGCTAAATCCAGACAACAGAGTAATCAGGAAAAGAAAGGCGCCTGTGGAGAGTCGGCTGCCTGGAATATTTTCTGGGCCACTCAGAATGTCCTTCTCCAAGCCTTCCTGACCCTCTGTCTGTCTTTATGATCTGCTGCCTGTCTCTGATACAGGAATGGAGAAATCCATTTTTATTTATCTTATTTTAATAAATAC